AAATATTTTTAAGGAAGTGTTATGAAGTAATTATTCAATATTCTTAGACAGTTAGCTTTTCGCTTCTCATGATGGGCAACAAAATATATATAAAGATTTTTACTCCTGAAAAAGATATGTGACTGAACACGCTCATTTGAAAGTTTCAACGAATCACTGCTGATAACGAAAATATTGGTCCAGGTAAAACACATACCAAACCTAACAAGACACATCTTGACTCTTACCTGTACACACACATCCCTCCACAATTACATAAACATCATCGTAGACCTCGGCAAAACATTAAATGAATTTGTTACACTTGTCTGCCAGTATTTTACACACAATTTATAACTGCATCCATAGCTAACAAAATGTACACACACCTAGAGAAACCATCTGTTGCCAGTTCAACAGAAAGGATGATGTAAAGTTCCTACGGCTGAAAGGAAATCATACTTCTCAATAAAGGTATCTTCAATGATGTAAGGAAACGAAAACATGGCTAGCATTGTCTACCAGAAGGCTGTTGACAGTATACCACACAATTGGATTTTGAAAATCCTGGAGATCTATCGATATCATTCTCAAGTTTTGCAAGGATAGTATGAAGTCGTAAAGTATCATGCTACTAACACTTTGGAGAAGTAGTAGAAACAAGAAGTCAGATTAACAGGAGTATTTCTCAAGGAGATCGCTATCCCCTCTAGTGTTCTGCATTAGTTTGGTCCCACTTTCTAGACAGTTATCACACACTGACTTTGGTTAGAAGCTCTATGGTGATGAAAAACCAGTATCACATTTGTTTTAAATGGATGATCTTAAAGCATTTACTAAGAATGAAGTGATTCTCACCCAAATGCTGTCATCAATTATGTTAGCAATAACATCAGCACGAAGGTGTATTTTGACAAGTGTGCAACAATCAACTTTAAAAAAAGGTAAAATGACATCAGACAACAATATAGTTGACATGCACATGGTGATTCAAGATCATGAGCCAGGTAAAACTTACAAATATCTGCGTGCTGAAGACTGTGAGACCATCTTGAACAACACAATGGAAGTGAATTCGCAGGGAGTATTATAAAAGTGTGAGACGTCCTGCAGTCTGCTCTGACACCAAGAATAAAATATCTGCAAAATGTAGTTTGGCGGTACCTGTAGTCGAATCCAGTATTGGACTTGTTGACGGGACTGACCAAGAAATTTCAATCATGGATGATAAACAAGAAAAGTGCTTACAATATTTCATGTCATCCACCCTCAAGATAATGTACATAGACTTTATAACATACACAAAAAGGAGGAAGAGGCCTCAGGCAAATTGAAGCCTCCAAGGACAATGCACTATCCAGGATGCCATAGTCAGGATAGGAAAGAATGTAGTCAGTAATCAAGATAACCCTCTAATGAGGCAGGGAAACAGGCATTGTTAGTGCAGCAAGAATCATTGCTAACTATGCAAGACACACAGAGTAACATGGAAATTGAACTTCTGATGCTACTAAACATGAAATGCGAGGCAAAAAATGTTAACGAAATTGTGGAGACAAGCCATTCCACGGACAGTATCTAAAATGAATGGAAAGGGTGAACATTAATAAAGATCAATCATTTATGTGGCTTCAACTGGAAAGAATGAAGCTAGAATTGGAAGCAGTTTTAATAGCTGCTCAAGATCAGGCATTGACAACATTTTAAAAAGATCCTGAACCCCTGCAAGGTATACAGCAAGTCTAAAATACATATGCTGAGACTGTTTCAACTCTACAGATACTGTTCCAAAAACTAGGTGACTAAACAACAGAAGAGTACATAAGTACTGGTTAAGTACTAATCAAGTTAAGTGATCTCAATATTTTTACAAATAATGAAACAAATCACAGCATGTATGCTTAATACAGCCTAACAACTGAATGGCCTTATTAACATGAAGATAATCTTTAAAAGATATTTTGGTGTCAAAAATAACACAAAGATCCCAAATAGTTAACACTTCCAATAATCATAGTGTTAATAGTATAATCCCTTTCAATTAAAGTTCTAGTTCTAGAGAAAGTAATTGTTTTATATTTAAAAGGATTTAAATTAAGATTGTCATTTGTGCACCATTTGACAAATTTATTTAGTGATTCCTGTAACCCAATTTTATCTTGAGGAGATTTACAGATCTTAAGCATTTTTAAGTCATTGGCAAAATGAAGAAATTTAACATCCCTTACAATATCACAAACATCATTTATAAAAATTAAAACCAATAGGGGACCCAGGTGGGAATCTTGGGGTAACACAGATAAAACTTCTGTGGGATCAGCAGTAGCATTTTTAACAGACACATACTGTATACGACCCAACAAATAATGTCTCAGCTATTGAAGTAGAGATCGGCATATACCAAAACGTTGCAACTGAATTCACTGAATCGAAGGCCTTAGAAAAGTCTGTATAAGTATTATCGAATTGAAAATTATCCTACATTCCATTTAGTATATTTATCAATAATTATTCATTAAAGTAGTTTAGGAATTACAGTCAGAATTGTAATTAATCTATAACCAGAAATACAACTCATATCACCAGATTTGAAGATTGATACAATGTATGAGGATTTCCACTTCATTGGAAACAGACCTTCGATAAGGATTTATCGAATAGAACATTCAGCGATTGGGAGAAAAGACAAATTTATAATTTTTAAACAAAATTGTAGGGATCTCATCAGGACCTGCTTTCCCATTCATGTCAAAGTATTCATTTTCTTAAGTTCATCAGAAACGTTCAAATCAATGGAGTTCAAAACATAGGGAGATATATCAATAAGATTTACATCATCTACCTGACTTAATTGATGAATGTAAAAGGTGGAGAAATAACTTGCAAATCCTTTAAAAATAGACCAAATACTTGCATAGACAACTGAAACCATCCTCATTGAGTCGGGCAAACCTCTGCTAGACTTCTTAGAGTTAATGTACTTCCAGAAATTTCTCTTTTCTTGTACTGATATGTTGATCAAGATGCTCATTAAACCTCATGAATAATAATAATAATAATAATAATAATAATAATAATAATAATAGCAACAATAATAATTAATAGCAATAATAATAATTTCAGCCTTTAGTATAGTACATTAAATTATACATTGTCAGGAACCCTACATTACCATAACCTACAACTACAGCCCGGAAGTTCAGGCATTTATTTTGCCTAAAATAAGCATGCAAAAAGACATTTATTCTGGCTAAAATACGATGTAAAACATACGAAACATTAAAAAAATCATAATTTAAAAGTAATTAATGTAAAAAATTAATAATTAAAATGATTCTCATTTTTATTCTTACTTTAATTTACATTAGCACCCATGTGGAAGGTAACTTTTCTTCGTAATCTTGATTGCATGTGACCATCTCATACAACAACTATGAATTTATTTTACTAGAGATGTTGTCTCTATGAAATGCTATAGTGGACTACCTTTTGAATCTTTAAATGCTATAGTGAAAACGAAATAATGTAATTCATTCTTCACAGTTGTGTAATCATCAAAAGGAAAGAACAAGAAGAAACTGGGAAATGTTACCATTAGAGAACCGATTTTAATGAAATGTCATTTTTTTCTATTCATTTTAGAACAATGCTATTTAGTATAAAAATTAATTTTGTAATGACAAAACGAAATGACCCACGCTTTTGCATTTTTAGTTGATTTCAGCTAAATTTTACCTTTTTATCTTTTGACGAAATTCTTAATGCATTTTTCCTTGATTTCATCTATTTTAATAACATTTTATTGTTTCTTGTATTAAATATTTTTTTACGAGATGCAACAAACGTTCACCACAGAATTCCTGTAGCCTATTTAATTTCTTCGCTCATATATTGTCATGTCAGCCTGTGTGAGTACTATGTAATCTAACGTTCCTGTGACATCAACGCCATTATCAGTTCCGCAGATTTTGCGACAAATAAAAGACAGACTTTCTTTTAAAGAACAGTCCAAACCAAACGTTTGTAAGCTGAGTTTATTTGAACAAATGGAAAAAGCCTTGATTGCATCAGTAACATACCCAATGGCTTGAGTTGTTCATACGATGTGGTTTTGATACATTTTTTACGTAATATTTCTTTCTTCTTACCGTATTTTAAAAGTATTTTCAGAGTATTTTATTGATATTTTCATCAAAATCCACCCCATTGTTATGTACAGACAGCTGTCCTCAAAAGGGATTCAAGGCCATACACAAATATAGAATGAGATTTTTCGTAAGTGAACAACGCTTTAGGCCTGGTGTTGGTTGTAAGTGAACATTAACAGAGTCTTAGAAGACTCATACAATTAAATTATACAGAATATTGAATATTCCACTTAACTTTACATAGACTTTGAGGTACTGCAAGTTTCTGTATACCCATGCAACGAAGTGGGGGTTCGAAGAGAAAGTAATATCCAAAAATATAATAGAAAGTCAAGCAAGGTCTTAATGTCTAAATTACAACCTAAGAAATGTAACAGACTGTTTTAGAGACATGTTTATGAATTATGCATGAATGTGTGTTGCAGCCTGATTACACATATTTGCAGAATTTTGTGTCAATGATTACTTACTAGAAATTGTACAAAACCATGATTTCATAGCACATCGTATAAAGGGGGAGGAAAAGAGCTCTGATTTTGATTCAAATGCATATGATTTAATGCTGATCATTTACAGATTTCTTTTCATTTCGAAGGTTATTGGATATTTGTATTCGAAGCTTATATTATATATTAAACAAATGTTTGATAATGTGGAGAGAGAGAAATGGGGAGGGAGAGAGTGGGGGAGTGGGAGTGGGAGGGAGGGAAGAGGGGAGAGGGTGGTGGAGAGAGGGAGGGGAGAGGGAAGGAGAGGGGGAGAGAGATAGAGTGGATAATTAATAATATGTTAAAGATCTTAAACTTCAAAATCATTTAAGGAACAACAGCATTGAAATATATAATTAGAACACAGATTTTCTTATTCACTTACTTTTGACATTTGAAAAATTGTAGAAGATATGGGTCTGTTCCAACTCTCTGAGCAACAGCTCTAGCCATTTGGTCATATGTCATTCGTTGTGACAGATCAATAGTGAAACCAGGATCATTTGGAATCATTTTATCACAGAAAGTTACTTCGACATGGTGAAATAAATCTCTGAAACAAAGTCCACATATTTCTGTGAAAAATTTATGCAATAAAAAAATTAAAACCATGCAGTGGTATAATAAAGAATATAGAAAGTGAAAAAAACAACAACAACAACTACTACTCATTTCCATTCCATACATACTTGAAATAATCACGGCATGTAGGCAAATCATACATTACATCCCTTTCATCTTTTTGAAACACAATTATGTCACCATCCATAAGTTCCTCAAGGACTTTTTCAAGCGGTTCATTATAATTCTCAATCCTCTCAACCATATTTGGTTTAATTTCTTCATATAAGACAAGTTCCGTATCAGGAGGAAATCCAGCACGTTCATTTAATAAAGGAATCAGTTCCTCTGGAACACAGGTGCCATTAAAAACTGAAACCCTTTTTGATTTGATTTTCCTGATTACATTGAATAAAATAATACTTACGGACTTTTGCAGCCACTGGCATGTAGTGATGACCACAATAATGAATTCTTTTTGTTTTGGGATCGTACAATTTAAAGAACAACAAAACATCTGAGTCTTTGTCAAAGGATGGGAGAGCTTGAAGTCCAGAGTCTGGAGGAACCACTTCAACAAACACATTCCATGGATTCTGATTTTCTGCCACATCTATCACTGTCTTGTGAAGATCAGCTTCTATGTCAATTAAAGTAGGACGACATGTCTGGTTGGATCGATAACTGAATGGCCAAGGTCTTATCTGTTCTATTGGATATTTCTAGAAATTGAAAAAAACAGCAACACATAAATATTCATTTTGTTATCTGATACTAGAGTACAATTTCGGAAGACTAACCAGACTATCTGCAAGCATTTCCAAAAGCTCTTGCAATGTGGTCTGCTTCCGAACACGGAATATTCTATATAGTGCCCTGTCAGGATCATAAAGATCATTCCCTTGATGACCATCAAAACTGTCCTCCAAAAGCACTTGAACAGACATGTAAAGGTGAGCCTCATTGCGTTCTTTACGTCTAATTTGTTCCATCCGTTTTTCTTCTTGTAGCCTTTCTACTAACTGAATGCAAAATAACTTATGAGTTTTTATCTTCAGTAACACATATAACTCACATTATTAGTATCGCGTATGATTTCAAAAACACATGAAAGAATATATCTTGAAAATCCACAATAATATATGTAACAAAATCACCTCTTGTGGAATATCTTCCTCAGTCACTTCTTGTAAAACATTCTTGATTTCACTATCACGTATATACACTAACATATATGCATTAGTGCAATGTTTGACTGTCATGTTCATGTCATCGTCATGTCCACCATAATTATGATCAATGGCTTCTTGTTTTGTACATCGAGATACAACATCATCATCAAATTTACACCACTAAAATTAATTAAAAAATTCAATTATTACATGAATTTGCACTCTAAACTTAATACAAAATGAATTGTTGTTCTTGGATATGCTAACTTGAACAATGACATATTTGAGAACTTCATTAACCCATTAACGCCCAGCGTCATCATCAGAAGATGGATACAAAGGGCATTCAAAAAGATCTCTGAATTGCTTTTTCTGTCAACTAACTAGTTGTAAGAAGGGTTTACATTCTTGTGATCAGGGACTAGACATGCTCACACTCAGACAAAGTTGGTCTGGACATGTTTCCATGTGTCGGTGTCACTGGAGTGAATGGTAATCCATCAGCATAATGTTGCAGTTCGGAACAGTGTTCAAATATGTGTCTGAGCAGTCTGTTACTGAAAATTTCTATGTGTAAGTTTTGCACAGATTGCCTAATGCAGTTTGAAGGATATGTTGGGCCAAGTGACAAGGAAAGTGGTGTCTGCATCACGATAATGTGCCAAGCCACACATCGCTTTTTGAGCGGAAATTCATCTCAAAACATTCCTGTCTTTCCTCAACCCTTGTACTCTCCAGATCTCACTCCCAGAGACAATTGATTGTTCCCTTCTCTGAAAATTGGCCCCAGAAGATTTTTTCATCCATGGAGAACATGCAATGGCTCAGTTCCGACAGGTGCCAAAAGAAGCCTTCTACCGCCGATTCCAGTAACAGCAGGAACGACAGAGGAAGTGTATGGGCGCGCAAGGGTCCTACATTGAAGATGATTAGGTCACCATTGCCATAGGTTATAACATTAATGTGCTGCGTAACGCACCATTCTGGAAACTTTTTGAATGCCCTTCATATTTCTGGTCACCTTAAATTTGTTTCCCCTTGCACAAAATTGATGTTTTAAATTATCAACAGCTACACATATCCTAAATGAAACATAGTCACGTTTTGAAATTTCTGAAAAATAGATGTTCACTTAGCCGAGATTGCCAAAGTAATGTATGTTCTAGTCGAGGTCATGTTCATGACGTGTGTGTGATTTGAATCTTCTAAAACCTTGATCAGCAGCTGGTGGAGGGAGTTGGAGGGAAAGATCAGTGTAAAGCAAATAGTGGCAGGTCGGCTTTGAGATAAATAGGTCATAGTCAGCCAAGATCTAGTTTTCTATTTTAGTATAAAAAAAATACCAATCATCACCAATGGTTAGGTGTTTAGGAAAGCTCTAGCGTACAATTTGGCAATAAAAGTTGCAAACATCTAACCAGATAGCTCCAACATTGGCATTGGACCTGTGTGCATAAGCATAATGATATAGAGTGTGCACAACACACAGCAAAATTAATTCCAGTGCTGATGAATTAAACAGCATAACTATCTAATGTAAATACACATTTTTCTATTTTTGTTGGGTTTTTTTTTTCAAGAAGGAGTAGTCAGCAAAGCAACAATTCTTGCTGAAATTGTTCTCATATAATTTGACAACAGGTAAAGCTGGCTATCTTCTTCACTTGAATCAAATTATTCTACTTACTAATACCTCTAAAAACATACTTTCTTGCTTTGTCTTTAGTCATCATTGGTATATTGTGCAGAAAATTTCATTGAAAGAATACGTAAAAACCATTGATAATCTCAAAATCATTTAGACAAAAATTTTGCAAAAATGAAAGAAGTATGTGGTTACAACATGTCTTTTCTAAACAAAACTGATTTTCATACATTTATAATTTCCAGAAACTATTGTTTAAATATTTTTCGTATAAATTAACTCTGATCTGCATAGTGGAGTTCATAAAAAAACTATAAACAAACTTTATTGTTCTTTCATACTCACTTTTCCATCACCTTTTGGATTTATAAAAACAACATAGTGCCCCCCATGATTATCCCCACTGTGGACTAACACAGCATGCAGAGTATAATCTGCTCTTGTTGGTTCCGGATTTTGAAGGTATGTTTCCAGGCTTATCTTCTCATAGAATTCAAACCTACAAAATACAAAAAAATACTCAATTCATTGACCTGTACTTCACACACAAACACACATAAAAGAATACTTTTCAAAATAATGAATGGCCATTTACTATTTGAAGGCAAACGATACAATGATTAAAGAATATTTATTTATAAAAATATCTTCATGACAGATAACTGCAAACTCTCCACACAAACCTACCATTATACACGGAACTCAAAGAGAATGGAGGAAAGAATCAATACACATTTGACAATAGAACAATTAAATGGTAAAATCAAAAAAGAAACAATTTAAAGTTGACAAACATTACTTAGTTTAAACAAAAAATATTCAACACCAATTTTCTGAACATGCAATATACTTCTAATTTTTTACTATTTTATTCCCTCCCTAACAACTAAACTGAGTACTTCAGTTTTACCTGAAACGTAGAGTGTAGAGTATTTTATCAGACTACTTTTTTCAGGTAATTACTTCCTATTATTCAAAAAAGAATGGATGCTTATATTCTTATGAAACTGTAATCTCTTTGATCATCTGAACACGAGCAGCCAAATACCCTAACAGGGAAAATAGTTGCCAGAGACTGAACTGAGTGGGAAGTCATCCACGCAAAAGAGGAGCTGTGAATGTCTTGAAAGAACAAGGTGGTCTCACTCCGTGGGCATGCCAGCAAACGAATGGATCTATGTTAAGTACCTTTCATTTGCTATTTGATGAATCAATGATTTGCCTCTTGAAGAGATTCACTGAATCAGAAGCACAAAAAGTACAGAAAAACAACTGGGCTGTGTCTCAAAGCGTTGGAGGCAATGATCAGCATCATATATGCTCGAGGAGCTATATGTACTATGGATGAACTTTGGTCTCATTTATGGAGACTAAATTCATAAAGGACACAATGCCAAGAGACAGATTTCATGATCTTCTCAGATTTCTCCATACTGATGACAAATCAACCTAAGCCGAACGTCTTTGTGCTGATAAGTTTGCTCTGGTGTCAGAAATGTGGGAGAGGTTTGTAGAAAACTGCAGTCGTTGCTATCACCCAATCAATGAGCTATTACTTCCGAGCAAAATAAGATGCAGATACATACAGTTTATGCCAAACAAACCCAACAAATATATATATAGTACGGAGTTGCTCTACAGCTGTCGCCGTTTCTCTGCTCTCAGTCTCCATGCCTCTCTATTGGACCATAGATTATCTGACATTTCTCTTGCTGTCATAGCCTCTTGCACTCCCTGGTGCCATGCAAGTCTGGGTCTTCCTCTCTTCTGTCGGCACCCATTTCAGGACTCGTTTTGGCCATCTTTCGTCTGTCATTCGCATAACATGACCGTACCAGACGATTTGTTTTTTCTCTATTTCGTCAAGGATAGATTTCTTGACATCCATTTTATTTCTTATATCGTCGTTCCTGATTCTGTCACGTCTGCTATAACAGCAGCTTCTACGCCAGTAGTCCATTTCAAGGGCCAGCAGCTTCCCTTTTGTTCTTTTATCGATCTCCCAGACTTCTGAACCGTATGTTGTAACACTCTTAACTAGCGAGGAGTAAAGACGTCTTTTAGTAGTGTTAGTGATGGTTTTATTCCATAAGACAGAGTTTATACTTCGTGTCAAGTTGCTCCCCAAGCTTATTCGTCTCTCAATTTCGTCATGGCTATTTCCCTTATTGTTAAAAAGTACACCAAGGTATTTATATTTGTTTACCCCTTTCATTTTTCCTCCATTTTCCACAAGAAGATCTTCTATTTCATTTTTACCAACTGCCAGGTATTCAGATTTGTCCATATTAATATTTAGTTATTATTATTTAAAAAGTGTTCATTGAGTTTACGGATCATGAAACTCAAATCATCAGCATCTTCTGCAATTACTACCTGGTCATCGGCAAAATATAACGTAAACAATTTATCCTCTCCGATAGTCATTCCCATTACTCTGCATTGTTTCTCCCACTGCTGCAAAATTTGATGCCGATATATTTTAAACAGAGTTGGAGAAAGACAGCAACCCTGTCGCAGACCTTTGCTGACTGGGAATGGATCCGAGAGCCTGCTGTAGATCTTAATCTGAGAGATGTTATTCTTATATAGATTCTGTGTGGCTCCAATTAAGTTTTCACTGATTTGAAGTCCATCCATTTCTTCCCATACTCTAGCAACCAGTACATTGTCATACGCCTTCTGAAGATCAATGAAACCCAGATGAACTTCCCTACCTCTCCTTGTTCTCTTTTCTATAAGTTGTTTTAATGTAAATATATTGTCTATGACCGACCTGCCGGCAGTAAAACCACATTGTTCCTCTCCTATTTTTCCTTTTATCTCTTCTTCTATTTAATTTCGTATTATTTTGCTATACAGTCTACCTATAGATCCAATAACTGCTATTCCTCTGTGGTTTGTTTCATTGTCTCTAGATCCTTTCTTATGGATTGGTGTCAGGTAAGACGTTCGCCACTCGCATTTGGTGCAGTTTGTAGGGACCATATTTCAGTAATTCTGCCGGTATATCTCCCGGACCAGGTGCCTTATTGGATTTCATTGTCTTAAGTGCTTTTTCTAAATCTTTAATTGTCAGATCTACCCTTTGCTCAAATTTTACTTCCTTGTGTGTTTGGAAGTTTCTGTTTTCTAGAAGCAGTCTTTCGAAATACTCTTTCCATTTATTGATTCCAATGTTTGATAATGCGATATTGTTTTTCTCATTCGATTTAATAGATTTAATTACTTTCCAGGCTTCTGAGCTCCGTGCTCCACCTATGAATTGTTCTATATAATCGCATTTATCCAGCCATAATTTATTCTTCCTTGATAATACTTCTTGTTTTACTTCTCTACTTATTGCTTTGTACTGTAAATTAGTTTCGGACAACAAATACGGACTGAAATTTTGGGTCACAGCATGCAAATGAACATCTTGGCAAAGAGGATACTTGACCAAGAAAACAACCATCGAGTGAATTGGTTGTTCTATGTCTTATGGAGCCATTTCTAAACCAAGGAAGAAATGAGACAACTGACAAATTTTTCACATCTTGTAGACTTGCCAAAAACCTCAAAGAGAAGAAAACAAACAAGCGGGAACAATCAATATTATCCTTTGTGAAATTCCTGATGATTTGAAGTGAAATGTCGAACTTCATTTCTTTATTATTTTACGTCACTCCAAGCAACACAAACTGCACCTTCAGTCGAAGAAGCAGAAGGAGAAGAAGAAGAACGTCATACTTCTCAGCTCACGTGATCATAAAGTAGCCATCAGTGATGAAGGAAAAATGAAGTCAGAAACCGATGTTCTATAACGCCATAAAATATGGTATAGACATAGTAGACCAAATGACTCGGAAATATGGAACCAATGCAGCATGCAGTATTTGGTCGATGCATGTCTAAATCTAATACATGTATATTCAACATGGTGGCAATGAATGCTTGGATTATTTACAATCACGTAACTAATGAAAAGATTCATTTTCAACTGTCTAGTGAACTGAAGGGATGGTTTTTGCCAGAAGATTTACAAAAAGGGGAAGAGCTGACAGTATCAGTGCCATCCGAAAAACGAAAATAGTTCCAGATTGGCTTATGCAAAAGCACAAAGCTAGCAGTTTGTGAGAGAAGTGCCATAAAGCAGTGTGTTGAAAATGTACAAAAAGTGGAAATCAGTTGCAAAAATTGTATTTAGATATTTAAGATGCTCTTTAGATGTGAAAGAAACATACGCTTAGCAAAATAAACTATTTTAAAAAACAAATCAAATTTCAATACATGTATTCATGGTGTCAAAACAACTCCTCCTTGATGTACTAGGTATATCAGATTTGCCTCCATTCTAGTGTTAAGTGACTCCAATTTTCCTGGAAGTCCATAAAATTTTCTACTAAATACATTTTCATTGAATTCAATAGGGCGATTAAGTTTTGAGTAACTGTAGGTCAAAATTGTTACTAGAAGCCTGACGAAAGTATGTAACGTTGCATTTGTTTATAGTCACCTGAAGAAACAATCATGATAGCAAACACAGCGAGGCAGAATGGTATTCTATACATGAAATTTATTGCTTTCCTAGTCTTAACTGTACAATTCTGATTAATAAATACCTGGGCAATGCAGGGTACTTCACTGCTGGTTTAAAAATATAATAAAGGTATTTGGCTTTTTGTAACTCATTAACCTTTGCTATAGCTAAAATACCTTTAATGTATGACTTCTTGGCTGTGCGGGTGACGCTGTGTCATTGGATGAGAGGCCGACATTTCACCTGTCAGCCATCAACGCGGCGTCACCCAGACAGCCAAGAAGTCATGAACTCGAGCTGCGGAAGCCTACATGCACACCTTTAATGTAAATCATACATTTATGGTTTCATAAATAATTCAGCGCTAGGTTGTTGTAACTTTTTAAACTAAAATGCACATTATCAATACAAACATAAATGCAATATGTCAATTATAAATCATGTTAACAATGATTCAAGCTACAACCATTGTACTGTTGCTTGTAAATATTTTAAATAAATAAATCATCATAACTTCAAGAACTTGTAGAATTGTAAATGGACAATTTGTTGTATACTTAAATAACATAAACAATAATTAAAAATTCATTACCTATAATTTTTACTTTCTCGCCCTTACTAACATAGGAAGAAAAAGTACTGTAATTGTGCGCTAGAAAACGACAAATAATCATCACCATAAAGCTTACTGCCATTCCCTGGTAAAAAAAAAGTGGATAAATCCAGGTAGTAAATATAGAAAAAATATCCTCTAACATATGGTATAGCCAGAATCCATGTTTTGTGAATTTTTGATACCAAAAAATCGATTGACAAGAAAATGTCTGAAAAATCAGATGATTACAAATCATTGTATAAGTTTAGAGAGGGGGGAAAAAAATCTGCTCGAAATTAATGAAATATATACCAACTAGAGGCCATGAGAAAAATTTTCGTAGAACAGGAATGGATTCAAAGGATACAAAAAATAATTAAGTAGTTTTAATTATAATTTACGACTGAAAAAGCCAATATTAATTTTATTTTTACTTTTTTTCCACAATTTCTATACTCAATATATTGATGTATTTTTAAAGCAACCTGCAAACCTTAATTGAAATTAGCGGAACATTACCGCAATAAATTTGAGAAGATCATTGTTGAATAGTGAGATGATGGCGATAAGATAAAGCTGTTTTACTTACAGTCAAGCTTGTGTTATACATTTACAAATTAGCTCTTTAGTAACCATTTGAAACCTATTTGATAATCCAAATTTTTGGTCTGTGATGCAAGGTATAGAACATACATATTTTCAATGAATGAATGAACATACATATTTACAATGAAGATATTATAGCCCTTCAAAATTTCAACAAGTGTGAAGCAGTCCAGTGCAATGTTGATTATCCTTTATTCCTTTACAAAAATTAGGTTTGGTTTTTGGTTTAACATTTTATGAGTTGAAAATTAAACAAGGGTTTCCAAAAACTTACTAATTTATTTTATATTTTTACATAAGAAATACGTTGCTATTTCTTGGCTATAGAAAGTGAAAGGGTTCATTGTACTATTTGAAATGTTTATTATATTCGGTTAAATTGGCCAAAGATACTGGCTTATAAAAATTTTTGAAGTAAAAACACAATCACATTATAATAAACTTTCATTTTCCTGTGCTTAGTTTCAGGCAGTGTCAATATGGTCAATCAGGTGGTAATAAATTAACTTAATATTACAAATTGTAGAACATAAAGAAATTTAATTAGTTTATTGGTATTAGAATTTGTAATTTTATCAAATGTGCATGATGAACTATGACTAAGCCATAAACAAGTTGAAATCTGAACGCAGATGAAGATAAGTGTTTTTGCTAAGAATTGATGAGTAAACATTCCCCAAGCATATATGACAACACTGTGCTGGGAACCATGTGTTGCCTGCTTCTATATAATTTGCTGTGAAAACTGTAATAGTCAAATTTATTGCTGTTTATTTCATTTCTAAAAGTAAGAAATGATTGCTGCTCTTTACTATCGAAATGCATGCAGATACGCAGGTGCTTTGTTTTAATTGGTTGAATTGGACTTTTATAAGTAACAGCCGAGGTGTTAGTACCACAGAAATCGCAATATTTTAAGAAAGCATAGCCGTTTCCTATGAGAAAGTATGTGCTGTTGTAGCACCTCTAATTTATCACTTGTGAAACAAAGTGATTTATGATGCAAAATTAACTTAAGAAGATGTCTACAAATATATTTTGAAGTCTGCCTTATAATAAACACTATATTTTCTAAAATACAGTAATCTTAATTATAATTAATATTTTTAAATATTTATTCATGTGTAACTTTGAATGAAAAATAAAAATTAAAAAGATTTTTAATAGCTTATTTTGCTTAATTTAAAGATATATATTATATTCAAGGCATGTTGGCCTCCTGAATTTTTTATCTTAAAATTTCTGGAGGAAAGAAAGTGGAATCTGGGACAGGGGTGCTTACAAGAGAAAAAACATAGTAATTTAAAAATAACCTACTCTTGTTTCTGACAACCTTTGTTTTTTCTATTTCTTCTTATCCACATAAAAAATATACGAAAATAATTAGAATCCAGAATCACAATTCTCAACCAGCAAAGTACTGTGGTAAATTTCTAAATTGGGTCAAGATCTACCCATCAAGATTGAAATTGGCTGAGGAACTTGAGTGATCCACCATCAAACTCACATCCATTTTTGTACAGATAAAATATAAAAAATCCAACAAAACTACAATCCTATGAACAACAAATACATTGTATGGTGGTAGCTCACCAATATTTACTATAATTTATATTGACTTCGTATGCAAGTAAAATAACCTGAAATTTTAACCACCAAGTCAGAATATCATCTCCACACCAAAATGAATCACACTGAATGCATTCATTACATTGTTTCATATTTCATCTGGTATAGTAGTAGTTATTAAATAATAATTTGCTATTTTAAGATCTTTGTTTCTGTCAAAAACCTTAAGTTCACTAGAAATTAATCTTTTGTCAAATTTAGACAATTTTTATATCTCTGGGTAGATCTACAGGTTTTCTTCATTAAAAAGTTTTATCATCAGTGAGATAAAAAAAGGTTAACAAAATAAGTACATTGTTCTGCAAATTATTGCTTAAAGATAACTGACTTTCTTCAGAATGTCACTTAATTTGACAACTTTTTATTATCACCTGCATCATTTTTGTACACAAAATGCAATGGTAATTGGCAAACTTGTTTAATGAAAAATAACAATAGTGTAGTATTGATGTGGAAAGTGCATGAAGTGATCTAAGGTTTTAAAAAAGCACTACATTGCTTGTTTCCTTAAATGCCCACTGAACATGGCCAAATCATGTATGCATAAAAAGGCAATTCACAGCAAGTGCAAAAATCGTACGACTTAATGGATATATAATCAACTGAATTTTTTCCCTCCTTTTTTCTTACACAATAGAAGCTTGCACAAAATGATAATCTATATAAGTATTTATCACAATAATTGAGAATCTTAAAGACTGAAAATTCGGCTGAAAAAATCATGATTTTTTAAAAAAAATCAGATTTATTTGATTTAAATAAGGTTTTTATAAATTTTATTAGATATTTTTACTTCAAACCAAAATCCTTAAGAGATTTATTTATCCTTAATTACTTTAAAATCAGAAAAAAGCTATTAAAACACCAATTTTTAAATTTATTATTAAATTATTGTAATTTTATTAAACAGAAAAATATACTATATTTGAAGTGTCCAGTGCAGTACCTAACCAACAAAATTTTAAATTTGAGTTACTTTTGGGCTCTTGAAACACTTTCCTTGCATCCACATTACTGAATAAGCTTGTGGCACCCTTGTGCAATACCACCCTAATCAATAATTACTTATTATTGAAAACAACTGAATTCATCAAAAAACTTGACACAATGTACGACAGTTTTTGAAATATTAAATTCCATTTACTAGTTGTCTTAGTCAAATGAAAAAATGTGGGGTATATCGGTTGTTACTTGAGAACTTTCGCATTAACTCTTCAATGGCCATCGGAAAGTCTGGGTCCCACTTAAAATGGAATTTTATCCACACACACAAAGAAAAAGGTTAAAATTTTTAAACTAGTTATATTAACTACTGGTTTTCATTGACTTCATTTCAGTGCCTTATCAAAAATTTTAATTCATATCAAGAATTACAGACACTGTTTAAGTTTTCTCAAAACTAGCTCATGGAATGTTAGGACAGTATTACTTCTAAATTAGTTTTATCTACAGACAATTAAATGTTGGAAAAAAACTAATCGAACCTCTACGCCTATTAGTATGTAACTCTACTACAAAGGGTTTATTGTTCTTCATTTCTCTTTGTTCATTTTATGTATTTTATTTTCTCAAAATTGTTCAATTGATAGTTTATAATATAATATATTCTTTATATAGACTTTGTAATTGAACTAAGTCTTTTTATCTAAGTAAATTTTTATTTTACACATGTTTTAAGTACAAATATATTTTTAAGAAATAGATATTGATTTACATAATTGATTTTTAAAATAATTTGATTTAAATCGTATCAGCTTTTATTGAAAATAACAAATCTGTTCACTAACTTTAAAAATTTGCAACTAACCAACACAAAAAACTCAGAGAAAACCATTTTACAAAATACATGTAAATCAACTGGTTTTTAATAATAAAAAATACATTAATTTTCTTACTATTTCAAATAAATCTAAAATGTGGGCTTAACTCACCTGTCATTAAATTTAACAGAACAGTCAGTGATAGGATCATACTGAAACCTCATTAAATGAAGATGAAGAACTGGAGGAAAAGAGGCAAATATTACTCCTTTTTCAGCATCCTGAAGACCATGTTCACCCGCATCATATTTATTGTCACCATCTAACATCTCTGTAGTGATGTAGTCATGAAAAGACTCATCAACTGCAAATAATCCAATTTAAAATGAACTCTTACGCAAGATAAAAGTAAACAAACATAACCAATAGGTAACCAAAACTTACTGTTTTTCTTTCCTTTAATATTAAGCTGAATATCATAAAATGTTTCAACTCTTGTAGATGTATAATCAATATTTTTACATTTGATGAATGACTAAACAACAGAAATAAAATTAATGTAAACCCACTCCATGTCACACAGGCTAGAAAATCACACTATAATTAACTTACCACCATTTTTCCCTCAAAAAGTTTGGGAACAGTTCCTTCTACACATGTTCCTTTCATTTTACTCTCCAACTTGTCTAGTAACTGCACAAAAAACACATTTGAAAATAAATTTTGAATATCACTGGTTTCAAAAATAAAAACATTTAAAATCAACTCATACCACTCTGAGAAATTCTTGAACATCATGTTGCATAAACGAGTCCAATGTTTCCCAACCAAATGATTTAGTCAATTTCTTTGTTCCTACAGGTTTATCACTAAACTGAAGCTCATGGAAAACTCTCTGCAGAGCCAAGGCCACACTTTTGCTTGAATCATCACTTTCAGTAGGCATTTTGTACACAGCCTTAAGAAATAGAAAAATATTGCAGACAAGTGTCAAAACAAGCAGCAGCAGTTACAAAACTTTCATAAATGAATTTAAAAAAAATAAGGCAGAGTTAAAAAATAAGTATATTTGGCCTATTACATATTAAAATATAAGTGCATATGCTTTAATGCTAGAGAAAATGGAAACTCAATTTATTTATTCAATACCTTCCTTAACTGATTGGTGAAGTAAAGGGTCTGAAGTAATGAATTCATGTAGCATGTTGCCCCTTGGTTTTTTAATCCAACATAGCCAGTATGTTTTTTTGAATCCCAACTCACACCATGTGGTGCATCAGCTACTACATGTACCTATAAAAATAGTCTTTGATACAACCAATTCAGTCCAAAATAAAGAAATAAGTAGAGAATGATACTACCTCCAAAGTGATGGAATCATCTTTCACATATTGCTTATCAGATTCTAAAACCTCTTGCCACGACATGAAATGACTAAATCCCCAATCATTTTCTTTACTGTAAAACAGATGTTGTATCTTCCGGCTAAATGGCTCCGTATCTTCTTTGGAACTTAAAAGTCGAAGTTCTGCAGTTGCATAACAACTCCATGATGATGATTCAGACTCACCATTACACTAAATAAATCAAACAAATTGCAAAAAAATAAATTATTTTCTAGAACTTTCAAAACCAATCAGTACAAAATGTTAGATGAAACAAAGTGATTCTTAATGCATCCTTAAAAATAATTTTTAAATCATGAGTCATCCAATACAAGTCAAAACTATTTCACATTAAAGATTTATTATTATAATCACATTAAAATAAAAAAAAGCACTATTGTATCAAAGAAAAGTAATTTCACTGTTTGAATGAGAAGGCATATTTGAGATCCTGGCACTATGCCATTAAACACAATTCCTAATGACCTTGTCACAATCAAAAGAATAAAATCTCGCTGATTTGGAAAAACAATTTAAATCAAAATTATGAATTATTTTAACAACATGCTTTTCTTGAGAAAATACATAAAAGATTATTTTCTGATAATTACAAGATAATACTAAAATGGGCCCCTCTTAAAAAAAATTCAAAAGAAACCCATCACAACCCTTACTTTTCAATTAATATATACAACCATCCACAAAAACCACCAATTCCAAGAAACTTTTATATAAGACATATTAAAGTACCAGTAACTTCTTTCAATAGTATACCTGCAGAAAGAATCCTAAGCTCCTCTGAGTTTGTCGGTCTGCAGTCTGACTGGTGCGAGGCATAACCATTATTTTCCACGGTAGATTACGAACATAACATGATGGGGAAAGTTGTGATTCTTTCAACTTGCTGAAATTTTGCACTGTGTATCTAAATGTTGCTTCTGATCGTGCTTCATCTGCAATATTAAGTATGAGATATGTTACAACACTATACCATGCTACTTCTCTCATCACATCAATTGACAGGAGCCCTGAAATACCTTCTTCCATTTCAGCATCTTGAGATATATTTTGTTCTTGAGCTTCACCATTTATTTGACGATTTTCCCCACCACCATCCCCTCCACCAGCATCATTAGGTGTTTCCACAGTTTCAACTGAAACATGACAAATAACCTAAGTGTCATTTCATGCACCATATGCATAACTAAGACCATATTAAAGATGTGACATTAATTGCCCGACGTTTAAATCTTGTTAATGTCTTCAAGCATTAAGCACTGCTGTAATCCTCGTCTAAAACTAACAACTGTTATTCCAATCTGAAATTTATAGCGCCATGAAATGATAGGAAAAACGCCGCCGTACTTCGTTCAAATTAACATTTGTTGACAACTTACCCTCTTGAGTGTCCATTTCTTCTACTTCATTGTTCTGGTTTTCTTTATCATTCACGTGATTCATATTTTCAATAGCTGTAATCTGAATTTTCGATTTCTTAAGACTGAGTGTGACCGCACGATCTTTCCCTGAATTGTAGGAGTTTTTACCGGACACGGTCACTTTAACGTGTTTACTTGCGATGCGCCCAATGTCTGCGGATTTCTTCACCCCCTGTTACCAGGGGAAACAGTCGAACCATATATATTATAAGTAATTTTTATATTCACAGGTCGTTAAATATACAAAATCTCAAAAGATGCACAGACCACAATCCACCTATTTAACAGGAAAATAAACAAAATGGTGGACAGCAGTTGTACAGAAATGGCGAGACTCGTACCGTAAGTATTGCACGGCCATCTCGATGCCTCGCTTTTATCAAATACATGTGAGCATCTTAGAAAAGTGCGCTAATGGCGCTAAATTTGAAGCGGGCATTCTATGGCGCATCCACTATCATCTCGAACTCATAACTGGGGAATGCATATAGTTTTCTTGCTAATTGACCGGAGTTCACATTGGTGTCTTCAGAACCACTCTTCTAAGTACCAAAACATTTGTAAAAACTTGCAACAAATTATTAATAAAAACAGTTATATTTTTTAATTAAAGACATTCATCTTCTGGTATATAACTGTGACATCCATAAGAAGAAAAAGCATTGAAACAAATTATGTTCTTGTAGAATGAATTCAGCAATAAATAAAATATTTTGCATGTTAGTAAATACTATACATGTATCATAATTGATGCATTAGTTTATTATTTATTTTCATTTTGCATTTGCAAAGTTGAAATTAATTGTCTAAACTGTATTTGTGAAAATTTGAAAGCATTTAACCACTTATTAGGCAATATTAAACATGTAATGGCATAGTGCTCAAGATTCCAAATTTTAGTCTATTATTGGTTACTTATTTAGATTCATTTTTGTTGGGCAAGTTCATTTATTATCTATTTTTTTAATGTTATTGTTATTTGATTAAAATACAAAATTGAATCCATTTCCCTCATATGAGTCACTTAATTTGAATCAATACTGATAAAAAATAACTATGAAGTAAGAACATAAAGGTATGTATTTCATTTTCTAGAATCAATGACTTTATTTTCCAATTATTATCATATGTTAATGATTCTTTCAGAAAATGTTTTACTTATCACAGAGTTAAAACCTTTTTACTTGAAATTTAATGAAAATGTAAGTGTTGATAAATATTAATTTAAAAAACTACATTCAAGATTAATTTAATTAATTAGTTATTTAAATTAATAAAATATGGGAAAGTTGGCTTCCCTTTATCTGCTCCAATTAAATAGCTAACAAAACAAAATGAGTAGAAGGACTCTGTTTTTTAGATCTTTAGAAATAAAAGTGCCAATAAGTACATCTTTGTCCAAATTTGAAGAACTGAAAATATATTTATTTATTTGGTTTTCCATCTTTATCAGTGCTTGAATTGTGTGCCATTTGTCATCCATTAAAAACATCACAAATTCAATGGTCTGAAAATGAGAGAAAATATTTCAAGGTTGAAATTTGAAATGGTCTTATAAAATGCTAAATGTTGCATTTAAAGATAATTTTGTTGTGGTATTAAATTAATTAAGTTTGATATATTTAAGGCTATATATCACTATAAAAAAGTCTTGTAGTTATTATCAATATTATCTCTAACAACACATGCAACACATGCATTAATATTGTCCTTTATACGCAGGTTGGATCATCATTAATTCAAGATCATACTTGGTACTCAATAGAAATAAGAGGTGATACAAATCAGACTTGGTAACAGTTAAAAGGACTCATTAATTTTTATTTTTTGGGTTCTAAAGTTATTTTCTACACAATGAAACAATGTTTGATTCAGGCACTCATGGATGCCATAAGAAGCTTTGTAATAATACAAGGGCTCTCTCTAATGGATTAACAATACTAGTTGCGTAAAGAATTCATTATAGAACTTTTTCAAAGACAAAAAGAAAGACATTGTTTGAACCAAATGAGTAACATTACTATTTTAATAACTTAGACACTCATGTAAAATAATCATAAAAATATGAAATGAAATAAAATGACTTTGGAATAGCCATAGATGAAAGTTTCAACGATACACATTTTATACAACACTGTAATGGAACTCGCATCACTGCTGCAACACCAATGCCTCACGGTGTAAAAGAAATACTTCTTTCATTATGATGCCTAAATCAAACTTGTTTCATTTGTAACTATACCTCAGGAAAACAATTTTGTGTCTGGGTTCAACAACTTTTATTTATCACATTTATTTATAAAGTAATTGCATTATTGCAATTCATATACACATGGAATCTTCAAAATAGTATAAGAATAGTATGGAAGGCAAATAGAATTAATACTGCACTAAGTGAGTGCAGAAAAGTGCACATGGACATATATCACAGAGTAACTTATGACTTTAAGATTATTTGTATTTTTAAAAAAAATTTTGGTGAAAACATATGTAACAATTTCAATTACTATCAAAATGTTTCATTTTAATTTTTCACACATATAATGCTTCTGCGCATATTTTCCTAGTAATTAAAATGTTTAGGACAAAGAAAAGCTAAAATGTCCACATTTTGATTCAATAAATATGCTATTGTGGGAAATGGTCTACATAGACTACATTAGAGTGGGAAAGTACTGCCATTTATATTACCGAGATTGTTATATCTTAAAATTATATAACTCTTTAATGCATTTCAAAGTAAATTTTCACTGTAAAATATGTAAAAATTTAAGTTCTTTACAGTTTTACTTAATTTGATTTAATAAATAAAAACTTCCGTAGATCTCTTCAATTTTAATTTTTAAAGGACATCTAATGGTCCTTTAGTTCAAAAAATGTATGCTGCATTAATAAAAATTTATACCAGACATTTTCAGAAAAATCAATAAAATTCAATAAACATCTTTCCACAATTCTAGGTTCTATTGATGACCTTTTGATATTCATTATTAAAATAGAAGAACAGTATTTTTTGATAAACATTTATATAGTTATTTCAAACAGAAATTTTGTTTTTAACTGAACTCGCAACAAATACCATTGATGAACCTCCAAAATTCTAATATTTCAAAAGAGCAGCATTAACATAGTTACACAAGCATCAACATGTTACATTATAGAATGAACCAGTGTATCTTGAATAAATAATTATAAACATTGTGTTGCAGAGTTTTCAGATTATTTTAGATATACCTTAAAAAATCTTAAAACTGTGCAGAACAAGCACTGGCTTTACAATTTCAAAATAGTCTATTCAACACAATGTACTGTGATGCAGTTCATTTCTAGATTAACACATTTCACCACTTAATTACTTCACCTCCATTAATGACCATCCCATCACTTAAAATTATGACTCACTATGGATTTAAATATAAAAAAAATGTTAAACAAATAAAAAATCTATTTTTGTTCTAACAACATGGGAAAGATAATTATTTTTATGCATGATTTATACAAAGTTAAGAAATGTATGTACATTTGTGTGAGTATATGTATATAAATATATGTAAACTACAATACATGTACCTGGGAGGAAACGTCAAAACTTCGAAAATAAGAATACGTTGTTTAACAAACTACATTTTTATTCCGAATAAATGAGCTGCAATAAGCACTCAAAAGTTGGTTTGAAAAAATTATTTATAGACAAAAATTTGCATTACAGAAGCATAGAAACACTCCAGAAATATGTAAATTGTTTATTATTTACAAAAGAAATGAATATATTTGTTGAATAAGAAAAATTAATTTACTCAATTTACACAATTTGACTGCTTTTGTATTTCTCGCTTAATTTTTCTTTCTGAAGAAATATATTCATATTTTTTTGTAAATAATAAACAATTTACATGTTATTGAAGTGTTTCTATACTTTTATAATGCAAGTTTTTTTGCCCAGAAATCGTTTTTTCAAGCCAACTTTTGAGTGCTTATTGTGACTCAGCCATTCAGATATCCTTGTGGTTTATTATTATTAATTATTATTATTATTATTATTATTATTATTATTATTATTATTATTATTATTATTAAATTAATAATAATAATAACAATAATATATTTGTCACATAACTACATCATAAGCCACGTATGACAAGTCAGGATATGTACATAACCATACAATGTACAATACAAGTATTTCTAAAAATTAAGTGCAAGACAGAAATTAAAATTCAATTTAATTCTCAAACTAAATACTGGAATGCTAATTAATTTTAAAAAGGTAATGTAAGAAGACTAAAATTAAAAAAACAATAATAAAGGGGAAAAAAAAAAGGGGGGGGAGGTCTGTTCCTGGGCTGGGTCCATCCTTTATTGAATTGAATTGATGCCTTATTTTACGAGCGAGGGTCAGGCCATGAGGCCTGCTCCTCCGTCTGACCAAGCAAATTTCACTACGCTCCTTTCACCAACTAGCAGAGAAAGGAGGTATTTCTTGGGCGAGAAACAGGTGATTTCAATTTTGCTCAGAGGCGTCACTAGGCTTGAGGATCTTTACATGCAAGTAAATCTTCTAACATGGGACAGCCATCTTTACTTCCCCTCCAAAGGAAGGCGTACGAAGGATTTTTTCGCCCTTAAAAATCTACGGCTTCTATCGGGTTTGAACCCACCAACCTGGGTACAACAGTCCGGTACGCTAACCGTTACACCATCGCCACGCTTTACATCCAATAACCACGGGAGGGGGGGGGGGTGAGAACATGCAACAGAAAATGGAATTATGCTTTAACAGGAAAGCTTTCAGTTTATTTTTGAATGTGTGTATCAAGTTTAGGTTTTTAAATTTGCTAGGGAGATTAGACAAAATATACTTAAAATTGTCTTAGAAGCTTATTTGTGAAGTTTTGACGTTTCCCCTCTGGACATCCTGTATATGGATGATCACTGGGTTGGTTTCTGAACAGCCTAAGATTTAATGGAATTATAACTGATTCAACATGGAAAATCACTAAAAAAGAAAAGTAAAGGGGTTACAATTTGTAGTAAACCAATCACAGGTAATACTAGATACATATACAATAAATAATACAATTAAAATGGTCTCTCTGTAATGAAAAAGTACAAGTTTGCAAACAATTTTTGAAGTATCTTTCTAAAAGAATGACAGAAAGCAATTTCCTGATGGTTAAAAATTCTTTTGTGGATCAAGTTTTCTTTTGCACAAAAAGATACTCATCAAAATGTGTTTACTTATTAGTAATTTGAGTTTTTGGAACATCATTTTGCTACATGGCAAATTAATGATTTTTAATGATCTTTATTACAAATATTAATTCTCAGTGTTAGTGATTTGAAAGCTTGTTGGAAGATTGTGCCAAACAAACAAGTCATTTTTTATTCATTTAGTAAAAATAGTACTTTCACGAGAAAGAATTTTTACAACTGAAGATAATTTTCACTTTTGTAGATATGGAAGATTAACAATTTACACTCTTAAAATACTGAAAAGATTTGTCTGTTTCATGTAAATTCATATTCTTTCATAACTTTATTTTATTGTATTACAGTTACAATTTCTAGCATAGTAGTATGCTCTCAACTCACTGAGAACCTAGAGGTGTAAAACAGGGTGGCCACTTATTTTCTGGTGCAAATTTCTGACTCTTCCCAGTTTTCCAGGACTTTTTCTTTTCACTGATATGATTTATAGAGTATTTCACACTATGTAAACAAAATATTAATGCATGCTGGTAGTAAAGAAGGAAATATTAGACACAATTAATAATGGTAGAATAATTCTATCTTTAATAGTATTTTGTGGGACAAAAGTATTTCAAATTAAAATAAAATTTTAATATCAAAAAAATTGTAGAGTTTTGTAGTGATGAATGGAGCAGAAACCTGAAAATTAAATTAAAATGCTAGAAATAAGTTATTGGCAATGAAGATGGATTTTGTAAGATGACCTGCTCAATTAACTCTAATGTACAAAATAAGGAACATAATAAAGTAAGAAAAAATGAACAAGGATACTATAATAAAATTCATTAAATATAAACAATTAACCTGGTTTGCACATGTTAAAAGAATGCAAGATGACAAGCTACCAAAAAAAGTTTTTGAGTGGCATTCAAATGGAAGAAGAGAGGAAGAACAAAATATATTTTGGAAGGAAGAAATCATACAAATTCTAAAGGGCAAGAAAAATAATAGGAAGGAGAGATAGAAGAAAAATATTATTAAAAATGTCCTTTAATAAATGTTAACATTATAGGTAGATTTATAAGTTGTTGATGTATATGGAAAAACTGGGTACACAAACTATATTTTGTACATAAGAATCTGTGAATAAATAAAATTACTAATTTGTCAGATCTGATTTTTCTGTGATAAAGAACACATTAACTAAAGTTTCTTAACAAATAACAATTGAGCTAAAAATATGCTGTTCTAACATCTTATTGAATGTCTAGTTCAATCCATTTCAAAATTTTCCCTGACTACTAATGATTCAAAATATTGGTAGAGACAATCAAAATATTATTACAACTGACTACTAATGATTCAAAATATTATTAAAAGAGAATTCAATTCATGATTTCTCTTGGTTACCCACAAAGTGGTCACCCTGTAATATCTTCTGCTTTTCAGGAAAAAATCAGCACACAGAGGAACTAAACTTTTATAATTCATTTTTTAGTAACAAAAATTTAATTTCAAATATTTACTCACATTAAGTCATTCTCATAACTTAAAAATAAAATTCAGATGTAGCCTCAAAAACTACAATACAATCTTCCCTTTTTTTAACCCCAAGGATGCCAATAATACAAACATGAAGAAATAAAATATTGAAAACAAATAAGATTGAAGAAAATCTTGTGTTCATGAACTTTCTGATTTTGTAAATCAATGTACATTGAAATCAAATATTAAAAAATTATTAAATAATTACATTTTTTTACAAGTTGATAATATGATTTTCTTTTCACCATAAATTTGGTAATAAAAATTCTTTAAATATATTAGAAAAGAAAATAATTAACTGTAAATTTCCATGTTGGGAAAAGCAAATGTAAACTTCTGCAACTAAGAACACAGAAGATACTAAAAGTAAATAGAAAAAAATACAATAGAATTTGATCGTCAAAATATTTTGTATTACAGAACTTAAGGATTGTTCAAAATATTTTGAAAAAAAAAATAAATAAATAAATAAATAAAAAAAATGAAATGGCTTTTCATTATTTTTAAAAAAATCTTCAACAATTAAATTAACATTTTTTTTTTAAAATTTGGAGAGGAATTATCCTTTTTCTGTACCAGAAAGAATTAAAACCTACTAGTTTCTTTTGTGCCAGCAAGTATGAATATAAAATTAAAGAAGTTACTAATAATATTTTTTTATGACAGTGTATTTCCAATAATCAAGCCAGAAACAAACAGATATGCAAATGAAACAATTTCTAAACTTCAAATAAATGTCATATTTATACACCGCATTTTTCCTTATACTGTATGACATTGTTTTTTCCACAAAAATTAAAAAACATGTTTCCATTTTCACCCTTATCTTATTATCAAATAATAAAATGCCCATAAACTTAAAGGGGAAAGACAATTCTACACTAGACTATAAATATAATAGATGTTATCAGTTTCAATCAATACAATGTTTTTAACGTTTTGAATATTAGCTCCAGCCTAGCATAACCCTCAGGATCGAATGTGTTAAAGAGATTTCAGCTGTTTTTAACTTTTGAACTTTTAACAGAAAAATTTAATAGAATTAATTGTTGCATGCATATGTATTACATGTGTGTCCTCTTATCAATATTATTTTCAGGATTATTATTTTTTTATTTTTTGTAGTAAGGTAAAGTCTTAATTGTTGATCTTTGATTTAATATAGTAACTACCAGCAGACTGTAAGTTTAATGCATGACAAATTTTATTTTCTAACTTCTATTTTTACAGTTGTAGCTTAAAAGAGACACACTTACATAAATTATATAATTTCTATTAGGTACTTTTTTATGAATAATTAACTTAATAAAGCTTTACAAAATCATGAGTGTAGATAGAATGTAACACTGACTAGAGTTAAAGAAGTAGTATTTATTTGAATATTACATGTAAACTTAAGTCTCTTTTATTAAGTATTATTGGCTAAAAAGCATTATTCTAATAAGGAAATCAAAGGCAGTTTCAGGAAAAATAAACCAAAATAAACATCAATGCTTATTATGCCACAATATGATTTGAAACAATGCAGTGGTGTTTTGATGCAAATAATGCTAAAGAGGAAACGAATAAAAATCATATTAAAAGCACAAAAGCTTTCAAACGAAACACTGGGACATCCCTTAATTAAACTAAAGGCATTCAAAGTGAATATAACAACTCAATGTTTTTAAATTGATATCAACAGTTCATCCTGAAAACCACATGAATTGCAAAAGATTAAGAATGAATTGTATATTCAATAAATGTTCTTTTATAAACTCATAATAACCAGAAACAAAATAAACAAAGAATTTAAAGATGAAAATTTGTTGCATTTATTTTCAACTAGCAATATTATCATTATACTCCTACACTTAATATTTAATATCTTTTATTTAAATCTTCTAAACTTCTCATTTTATTATTTTCAAGGCATATTGTAAACAGTACATAGACTTATAATTGGCATAAATGTCAATATATTTCCAAAAGTTTAGAAAGAGTAAGTCACTATGGGTAAAAAAATTAATAGCAAAAATATTCTACAGAATTAAAACATTTTAATTCTACAGGTTTTGTGACTAGATATACTAAGTTTATACAATACTCCATTCTAGAATCTGAACTTTCCATTCACACTGCATAGACAGATTCTCTAATACTGTTCAAAGAAATCTCTAAAGGTATTAAATATCAGTACCAAAAGGAATGTCCTTTCACAAGAACAAATTCAACTAATACTAAGACCTGCTCGTGCAAACAAAGAAATAACATTTATGTTAACATTTTAATATTTAGATGCTACAGGTAAATTAAATACATTACATTATTTTATTTTGAGTGTTAAATTCTACACAAAAATATACATTTACTTAGCATGGCAAAAACAAAAAAAAACAAAAAGAAAAAAACAAAAAAAAAAAAGAAAGAAAAAAAGAAAAAAAAGAAAAAAAGAAAAAAAAAACAAAAAAAGAAAAAGAAACCAAAAACACACACCCCAAGGTGAAACAAGGGGAAAAGATGTCTTTTACAAATACAGTAAATAGTACAATTTTTGGCCTGGATGTGATTTCTGAGATTCAAGAATCACATTAAATGGAATAATTTCTTAAAAAGTACACAATTCACAAACATGAAATAGAACATTAAAATGACATAAAATAGTTACATGAAGTTGCTTACCTCACCATTTCCTGCACATTTATTTATTTACTGCAGAAAACTTCCCTGACTAGAAATGTAAGGAACTGCAATGATTATTATTATTAAAACACTTCACTATATAACATTAGAATATGCTAAAGAAAATGCTTATGAATATACAATTATTTTTAATATATCCGAAACAATTATGTAAGGAATTGTACTCATTTCTCATATTAAAGTATGAGAATCATTTACAGAGAGCAAAGCTACGTATCTCAAAAATATGTTTACAGTATAGAAAAGCTTTTTTTATTTATATGCAATGAGAAGGTCATCCAAGAGTTAGTCATTTTATGATAAAATAATTATGTGAAGAGATGAATTTAATTTATCAAAAGTTCTTTTCATGTTATTGCCTGATAGTTGAGAAAGGCCCAGAGCACAAAATAAGAAAAGTAAAGCATATAATATACATTTTGCAGAAATTGTTTCAACTACAGTCAAATCTGAAAAAACAATATTTTTGAAGGTAGTTGCTTTTGGAATTCAGTAACTTTCTTTGAGATATAAACAACACTTTTATATATCTATTTAAAACAAAGAAAAGTTACTAAAATATTGCGCAGTAAAGTAATATGACACTACTGAATAGAACATACAGCAGATGTTCCTTCACTTTTATCCATTGCTGCTGCACGTCTCCTAATACCTTCCAAATAGACTTCTCGATTAAAAAGACCAGCAGCTAATGGTATTCTGCAACAGAAAGCTCAATAAAAATGGTATTCATTATGTAATCTAACCAATAAAATTAATATCATGCATTTTCTTACGTGTCTATTCCTGGTCGCACAGCACTACTATAGAGTCCCCATACAGGTTTGTGATCTGATGTACAAATTGATGGAACAGAAGAATATAATAAACATTCCAAAACTCCACGACCCCTGCACCTATAAAGTATTCTATCAGTGTAAGCAGGAGTTCGCTGTTTATGAGATGTATCAAACTTCTGAGTACCAGGATCATATTTATATGTAGGAGGAAAAGTAATCGGACCTTCTTGAAAGCCTCGGAATACTGAACCTAAGAACACAGAGAAATAAATATAATTATTCACAGTTGAAATAAAATCTGTGTCAACATCTATTACATTCTGTTTCAGTTTTGAAACACTTAACAAGAATGTAAAATACTTTTTTTATTATAACTTCAATTACTTACAGAATTTTGTCAACCCTAAAACATTTTTGTATTTTTAAGTCCATTTTGTTCTAGTATTTTTTTAATTGTTCTGTGGTTCTTCAGCAAACACTGAGATTTACTGAACTTACTGTCTCAAACAATAAATATAGGTTTTGCCCTTTTAAACATCACATTCAATTTGTGCATTTTTATTCTTAAGTAAATAGAGATCAAGATTTGAACAATTGATTTCCATGGTGTATGTGGTTATTATTTGTTACCAACAAAAATAATTAAAGTGCCAATAACAATTAAAATGAATTATTTTTGATGACATGTTAATTTTGTTAAGATCTCTCGTGAATAAAAAATAAATTTCAATAAACACACTCTGCTTATATTGCAGAACTTGTTGCCGGACCTTGTTTTGAAAAGAGACCATTTCTAATGTATAAATATATTGTACATTGAAAAGAGGCCATTTCTAATCTTAAATATACATTTCAGAAACATGCCCAGATTATTATGCCAATTATTATGCAAATTTATATCACAAATTTCACATTAAATATATATCTCCCCCCCCCTCAGTAATATTTATTGTCTTATATATTTGAATAATAAAATTTCTATATATCCAAGACTGCATTGCAAGATATAGAAATTATATCTGATACATTCTATTCTGATTCTGTATCTTTTATTTCAGCCTTCTGTACAACTAATGGTTTTCCTCTTGGTCAACAACACAGAGACAAAATACCCTTTCATTTATTGCAAAAATATCATTAAAAAAGGCAAACATGCAATTATTAGTACAACAGATCTACTATTAATTAAGAAAAATGCCACCAAAAGGCACTCTCAATGCAAAATCTACTCTTTACAAAATAATATTTGGGAAATACCTCTTGAAACAATTAACAATGGGTTAAAATCTTCAAAGATAAAAACAGAATCTTGAATTTCAAACCATTTACAATGGTAAGAATTTTAAAACAATCTCATGTAAATACTGTTCATAAATTTGATATGTACAAGATCATATCAGTACAATATGATCTTGTATCAAATTGTTCATAATCTTTCTCTCTGTATTCCGTTTCAGTAGAGTGGGTAATGCACCCAATGGATGATACATGCACCTCCTCCCTCCAAACAAAAGTGGATGGTTATTATTAATGTTATAAGGGTAATGTCATGCTCGACATCCAGCCTGATGTCCAGGATTCAATTGGTAGTGGAAGGAAATTGAATGTACAAACTTGATGCATTGAGTTTCATCACGATCTAAGATCGAAAATCACACATAAAAAAATGTTCCCTTCTGTAAATAGAAGGTTGCCCCTTCCCCTTCCCCAATATTGAAATACTACCGCACCGCCAAAATTTTTACGATATTTTACTCACTTCTGAATAATAACAATGATAATGATAATAATAATAATAATAATAATAATAATAATAATAATAATAATAATAATAATAATAATCATAATTTAAAAACATAATATAGCTGATACATTGAGTTTCTGGACACAAAAAAGACAGAAAGACCTAATATACAGAGAAAAATAAATGAAAGAGCTTAAGAAAGAAATGTGAATTTAATTTTTCTTAACTAATTTAGATTACTACAATTTAATGTTCATACAGTAAATAAATAAATAAACTGTATTAACACAACATTTAGGCTAGTATTCTGGACAATTATTTTTGATAATGAAGGATACAGGCCTTTATTGATGTTTACAAGGGTTTTATTTCAAAGTGTACAGATGGTGATGGTACTGAAAGCAAAACATTATTAAACATAAGTTTTGGCAATATCATAACATATATACCTTCAGCAATGGTAAGTTTCAGTTGATCACTATGTAAGCTATGCGGTAACGGTAAAGGAAACTCTTGCTCTGCCACCCATTGCATAACTTCCTCCCTAGGTTGTGACAAGCGGAAGTTTAAATCTCCACACCAGAAAACATAGTCATAATTCTGAGTCACATCTGCACAAATCATAGAATCAAATATAAGATGAGTGTAACACACCAGTAAAGTATCACACATTTTTAATCATAGAAGCTTAATAGTAAAATCATTTAACTTCATAAAAATCTGTAACAGACAAGAAGAAAACATACGAATAGCAAATTCAGTGTAATTAAATATTGAAAGTTATCAGTGATTTACAGTTGCATTCTTGACCACTTTATTCAAATTTCAATTTTCACAAGGATCTTTGATGCTTTCCTATTGTTACTCTATCACAAATAATGTGAAGTGAAATTGTGCAAAACTTCAGTCTCATGATTTTATGGGAAATAAGAGATCACTGATAATAGATTTTGTTTCTCAAATGCACATCTGTTTTCTTAATTTACTTATGCATTACTACAATATTGTTTCTTTATGGTGGTTACAAAGCTAGTGTTGGTTACAATTCACTACTTCTATACAATGTTTGATGGAGTTATGAGTCAATAGAGAGTGCAATATACCATGTGCAAGGCAGCACGCAGGGATCTACAAGGAGGGAAATGAAGGAAATTTCCCCCTCTGAAATTTTTCAGTAATTTTAACTTGTCATGAGACTTTCAAGCAAAAATATTCATGGATTATCATTAAAACTAATAAAACAGTATCGCAGCATGAGCTGAGTGTAGTTTGTGACATTTTACAAAATATGTAACATGACATATTCAATGAAAACATTTTGAATTTCTCCTCCAAAACTTCGTCTCTGAATTCACCCATTACTAGTAAGGATTTAGTTTTCATTTCAATTGTTGGACAGTATTCAAGTTAATATCTGCTAGTTGAGAGTTCCCTTTGACAACAATACTGTTAGGGATTTAGATTTGGGGGGGAGGGGGAGGGGGGTTATAGAACAATCCTTCATTTTCCATCAATCTCTTACTTGAGTGTTTTGGTTGAAGATGACAATGTCAGAACTGAAGTATAAATGTCAAACTGTCCCACTGTATTACAAAATGCATTTGATACATGTAGAGTATATAAGTATAAGTAAATACTGTTGAAGGGAAATTGAAATTCTTGAAGCATGTATCCACTAAACACACCATATAATTAGTTAAGACTAGTTTTAAACATAGAAATTCATTACTACAACACTAGACAAAAGAGAAATCTAAATGATTCTCATATTTAAAGTTGTAGAAGGAGAACAGTGTATAACAAAACCTCCAATGAATATATAAAATAAAATCCAAGTACTTGAAATCTCATTGGCTTTGCCATTTCTACAGAAGATGGCTTCACTTTGATAACATCGAACTGCTTGGTTGTCAGTGGGCGCATTTGTCGATTAGCCGCTTCCAGCCTTTGATACATTTCTTTCCTTTCTTGAGCTAGAAGATCGATAGGAGGTATACTGGCTAGTACTAAGGATGCATTGTCTGATTCAGTATAATTATCTTGAAATTATCCCCAGAGCCATTCTTTTCTGAATCCTTAAATTTTTTAGTTGTATGGATTCTTTATTTAGAGCCTCAGCCAACACTGGAAGACAGCACAAGCATACTACATTTTCGAGTGTTTTGCGCCAAATATCAATCTTTGCTTACTTTCACAGAGTTCCTGAGTTCAGCATAAATCTGGAGAGGTTTGCACCCATCTTTGCTGCTTTATTTGCCATTTTCATAACATGGGCTCCAAATATAGGTGTTGTGGTGTGATATCTTTGGCATTTTTCATAAAATAATTAAAGACGTCATTGCCAACAATATTATTTAAGTCGTTTTGTGGCTTCCATCCAGCAGACAACTGATGATGATGGATAAGCCATCGAAAGCTGCTATTGCATTAAATAATATTGTTGGCAATGACAACGTCTTTAATTATTTTATGGGCTCCAAAGCTTAATCTCAAGACAATCTTGACATCAAGATATACTATTTGCCGTTTCCTGCTTATATGCTCTTTTTCCAATCAGATCACCGGGAACGGAATGCTCTCAGATTTGTATTCAATATGACTTGTGTTTTTGCTACCACCATCTGGAGATTTCTTATATTCAATCATGTTTCCATCCAGCATAAAGTTTCATTTGGTCTTCATTTCCAGTAGTTCCACACAACATATTATCATTGTATTGCTAGCATAACCAATGAGTTGAGAGTTCTTTGGAAACTCGATGTTCAGCAGATTGTCATATAGCACACTCCACAGAAAGAGGCGCAGTCTTGACCTTGTGGGACACCATAAGTCATGTCTTACTCTATCCTACATCCATATGTGTATATTATTTTCCTCTCACTGAGATAGGTACTCCTCCAGCATACTCACAAGGTACTCAGAGCCTTCTCAGCTTCCAGAGTCTGTATTAAGTCTTTCCAGCTGGCAAAGTTGAATGTGTTTTTGGCGTATCGCCACTAGAGCACAAATTTATTTTTTTTTACTTTTGGCTGTTTCAGCAGAGTTGATTGCTTCTGTAATAGCATCTATTGTCAAGGGACTCTTCCTAAACCCAAACTGTCTCGTTGAGAAGTTTATTCCTGGAATTATGTGTCTCTTTAATCGTAGAAGGAGCAACCCCTCCAGTAATTTACTCATCTTATCCAGGAGGCACAAAGGTCTGAATGATGACATCAGCTCAATTGGTTTGTTTCCTTTCAGTATGAGGATTAGCTTATGCTGTTTCCATTCCTTAAAGATTTTTCCCAATTTGAGGCAGTGATTAAAGGTATCCAGGAGGCATCCAGAGTATTCTTTAACCACTAGACTAAGGATCATGTATGGGATTCTATCCGGTTTCGGCACTGTTTTCTTCTTGGTCTTCATCACTGTTTGTCCCAATTCATTCCTTCTTGAAGTAATTAACTTCGCTGAAGTGTTAATCAGAAAGTTTATTCCTTACCCAGAGTTCTCTGCAAGGACAAATATCTCTGATAATTACTTTCACCCACTCTGGGTTTTCCAGACTCACAGGGTTGGATTCTATAAATATCCCCATAACTATGTAATAGGCCTTTCCCCACAGACCATTCTCCACATCATTTACTAAGTTCTTCCAGCATTTTATTTTACATCTTTTGAATTCAGACAAAGTCGTTTACAGCACCTCCTATAGTTTTCCTTTAGTTGTATATCAGGTTCTTGTTGCAAGTCTACAAGCTTTAACGCATGCTTTATGAAGTTCGGCAATATCTGCAGTCCACCAGTACATATATTTTTCCCCTTAGGCTCCTGCGTCTAGGCATTGACATCTCACACATATCTTTAACGATTTTTTCGCGTTTTCTTTACTGCCTCTTCGACGGATTCTGCTTTTTCCCCATCCAGTATTTTGCAAGTTATAATTCAACAAGGAGTGGTATGGTCTTTTCTTCGTTTAGTTTTCTGGTATTCCATGATGGTCCGATAATTGCCTGTCTTTTCTTCCTGCTCTCTTGTTTCCAATAGGTGAAATGGAAAATTCTATGCAGATATGATTCCAAAATAGTTAATGCGATAAAACGAGAAAAGAGGTGACTTAAAGTTTAGCAAACTACACATCACAAACGTGACAAACGAAACTTGCTGGCTCGGTGGCTCAGAGCGAAGTTATTCGCCTCTCATTAATGAAGTCCAGGTTCGATTCCTGGACAATTTTATGTAAAATTTGTTCCGATAAAACGAGTTTGGCTGCTTCACAAGGGCTAATCCAACCCCTGTTTTCAATAGGTTCCTAAACCCCACTCATATCCTAATTCCTTCCCATAGCTGGCCGCTGGGTAGTGTCGCAAGAGCGCGTAAGAGAGAGGAGCGTACACGGCGATGCTACCAGGCAGTCATCTTGACAACTGACAGAGACGACACGTGACAGATAATATTAATTAACGGAGGATACTCTGAAAAAGCGCAAAGCGCTCAACGCCTCCTAGGGGACACCCCTACTCACTCGACACCCCTGGCAGATATTGTTAAGAGAGATGATGATTATAGATAATCTTGAGTCGAAATCTTCAGACATTGGAAAAATATATGTTGAACAACGCAGAGATCGTAGAAGGACTCTTTGGCTAAACCACTGATGCAGTGAGGAATGGATGGCGTGATGCATCAGGCGAGAAAAGAGAGTTCTCAGAGATATTGAGCTCTTTCAAAAAGAGAAGAGAAGGCTCAGGGAGAGGGGGAATAGTCTGGACGCACAGAGAAAAAAAAGAGCGGCACATAGTGTACCAGAGGCTAACAGAAGAGATAAGAAAATAAACGAAGGAAGTGAAAGAAAATATTATTGATAACCCAGAGGACAAAAGAGAAAATCAGAGTGAGGAGCGCAAATAGCTCGAAATAGAAGATGCTGAGGACGAAGAGCAATGGGAAATCCAGCAAAAGAGAGAGAGAGAAAAAAAGACAGGGTAAAGAGGTCAGAACTGTAATTAAAGGAAATGAGGCGCTAAAGATTACAGCAAGACAAGGGGTCTCATATGCTGGCATCTTAAAGAAACTTAGCACCTCACATGAGATGAAAGGGAATGATTAGGTCTGAAGAGTGAGAAGAACAAGGAGGGAAGAACTGATCGAGCTGAAAAAGAACACGAGGACAGACGCCTTTAGTAAAGTAAATGGCCAAGATAGTGAGTGCACTCACTGTCTTACAACCTCTGAAACCAAAGGTAACACTAGAGGTAGAGTCCCTAAGCGACCATAACTAAATATCCTTTAGGATTGTAGAAAGTCAGTTCTGCAAACAATCGTCTTATAAAAGGATAGCTAACTGTCCTAAGAGGGTATTGAATGATCGGAAACTTAACGAAGAGAATGTAAAAACATCTCTGACAGAATCTACGAGTAAATACATTCAAGAACTACGATGGAGAATGCAACTCCAAACAATAGACGGTACGGTAGACAGGGCTTGAATGGTAATCCAAAGGGCCTGCAATTTATTGATGCCTCTCAAGATAGTCAGAAGTTACCATGGGAGACCAACATTTTGGTGGAGGGAAAAGGAAAAAGCCCTCCTAAGGAGATACTGTGTAACGGCGAGAAGATGTATGAGGGC